GAGCTGCCGCCCAATGTGCACCTGCTCACACTAGCCCGCTGGGGCCGGGAAATGCTGCTGCTGCGCCTGGAGCACCAGTTCGCTCTAGGGGAGGACATGGTCGGCAACCTGAGCTCTCCAGTTACCTTGGACTTGAGGGTGAGGAGGGCAGAGTGGGAAGGAAAACAGGAGAGAAGCCAGCGGAGGGAGAGGGGAAACCTCGCGTTGACCCTCCCTCGCTCAGCCCCGCCATCCGCTGCCTGCAGGACCTGTTCTCTGCCTTCACCATCACCGACCTTAAGGAGACCACGCTGGCTGCCAACCAGCTCCGGGCCAAGGCCTCCAGGCTCCAGTGGACACCAAATACGGGTGAGGGCTTGCCCCTGGGGTTGGGAGCTGGGGGCTGTGTGGAAGGTGTGGAGTGTTGGCCAAGACCCAGGGCAGCTCCAGGGTCTGTGGTGTTCAGATCCAGGCTGGGGGTATCAGGGTCTTAAATAAGTACAGCAAACTAGTGGTGGATCTTGGGTTTTTGAGGTTGGAGTGCAGTCCCAAGGACAAGATCTGAGTCTCTGTCAGTGTCTAGTTTGGGAGTGGGTGGGGCTGTTCATCAGCCTTGGGGTTTGCTTGACAATCCTTGAGGTGGGACTTGAGGGTGTGAGGGCAGTGGTCAGGCTTTGGGAGGGACTTGGGGATCTGGGGGTGGGATCCAGGCCCTGGGAAGCAATTGAAGAGTCTGGTAGGGAGGCCCTGGCGACAGATTTGAGGGTGTGTGGCTGTGTCCAGGCCCAGGGCAGAGAGCACAGGGGAGGGGGGAGTGAGGCAGAGTAAGTCTGCGTCCCTCATTCTTCCCCTGCACCTCCCCAGGCCCCACACTCAAGCCCTCTCCCTCCCGGCTGGACCCTGCCAGCATCACACTGCAGCCCATGGAAATCCGCACCTTCCTGGCCTCTGTCCAATGGGAAGAGGAAGGCTAGACCTGCTGGGGGCGCTGCCCCCTTTCCAGCTGAGCCCCCTCCTGCAGGGGACAGGCCAACTTCCCCTTCTCTTCTTGCTGCTGTTACACCAGTGAAAGCCATTAAAATGCCACTACCAAGCCTTGGGTCAAGGTGTGACTGAATTTCTTTTTGAGAGTGATAGAATTTATGACCCAGAAAGGTCTCCAGACTTGAGCTGACCCTTGACCCGAGGCCTTGCAGAGAGGTCACTGCCTGGATCCTTACACGAGACTCTATACCAGTGGTTCTCAACCTTGGCTGCACATTAGAATCACCTGGGAATCTTTAAAATCCTGATTTCTGGCCTCATCCTTTCTCAACCTTGGCTGCACATGAGAATCACCTGGGAATCTTTTTAAAATCCTGATTTCTGGGCCTCACCCTCCGGAAATTCTGTTTCTTTGTTATGGGGTGGGGCTACAACATTAGTAACAAAGCAACAGAATTTCCGGAGGGTGAGGCCCAGAAATCAGGATTTTAAAAAGATTCCCAGGTGATTCTCATGTGCAGCCAAGGTTGAGAACCACGGCTCTATACTGTTCACAGCTGCCTCATCATCCACCACGCGCTCAGTGAACCATACACACCTGGGGCCTCCTAGACCTGGCCCTGAGGCGAGGAATCTGGGAGGTCCTGGGGGAGGAAGTGGATACAGTAGGTCCCAAAGTGGGGACTGGGACAGGTGGATATTGGAGTTGCAGACCTCCCAGGTGGCAGAGGCAGAGTCCGGCCTGCCCTTGTTCTGGTGTGCTCTGGGTCAATTTTGGAAGGAGACCTTTTGATGAAATAGGTAGGAGGTTGAGAGTAAAAACGAACTGACTTTGGTGTGCTGGCCCCTTGAAGGCTCATTGAGGCCACGGAGGGGTGTGGCTTAACCCTGGTCAAGAGGGCGGAGTTTAATTCGGGAAGGTCTGAGCTCAGCTGGGAAGGGGAGGGCTGAATCAATAAGGAGGTGGGGCTGGAGCCCAGGAAAAGGCGGTGTCAGGTGACCAGCATTGCACCCTCCCCAAGTTGGATGTGCCTCCAGAAAATATTTCTAAGGCCTCTTTGGGGCAGGATTGGGGGGTTGCAGAGGATAGGCATGGGCCTAGGCCAGCTAGGAACCTCTGGGGAGTGTTCCCTCTATTCCAGTGGTTCTCAACCTGTGGGTCGCGACCCCTTTGGCGGTTGACGACCCTTTTCACAGGGGTCGCCTAAGACCATCCTGCATATCAGTTATTTACATTACGATTCATAACAATAGCAACATTACAGTTATGAAGTAGCCACGAAAATAATTTTATGATTGGGTCACAACATGAGGAACTGTATTTAAAGGGCCAGAAGGTTGAGAACCACTGCGTCTATTCCCACTTTGCTGAGAGTTTTTAATCATAAATAGCTGCTGGACTTTATCAAATGCTTGTTCTGCATCTGTTGATATGATCATGTTTTTTTTTAAAATTTAAATTCTTTATTGTTTAAAGTATTACATAAGTCTCCTTTTCCCCCCATTGACCTCTTACCGGCTGCCCCCACCCTCCAGCACATGCCCTCACCCCCCTACTGTCTGTGTCCATTGGTTATGCTCATATGCATGCATATAAGTCCTTTGGTTGATCTCTTACATGATATGTGAAGGGCCAACAATAATCAGGATATGTCTAAAGAAGCTAGGAGAGGAGACATGTCCTGTCATATATCAGAATTTATGATGAAATTACAGCAATTAAGATCATGTGGTTTCTATCCTTTAATTTGTATATGTGGTATATCACATGTTTTGCGGATATTGTGCCAACTGTGCACCCCCATAATAAATCCCACTTGATCATGGTGTATGATCTTTTATTAAAAAATATATTTTTAGCCGTAACTGGGTTGGCTCAGTGGATAGAGCGTCGGCCTGCGGACTAAAAGGTTCCATGTTCGATCCCGATCAATGGCATGTACCTTGGTTGCAGGCACATCCCCAGTAGGAGGTGTGCAGGAGGCAGCTGATCGATGTTTCTCTCTCATCAATGTTTCTAACTCTCTATCC